CAATTTGAACATCCCATCAAAAGCATAACCCTTACCCAACAAAAATACCCTTCTTGGTAATCACATATTGATAGATTCCCATAATTTTGGCCTTAAAATAGCCTATTCACAATAACTTGACATCAAATTTCTTCTTATGGACGGATACTTAAGCACATTTTTAAAAAGTAAACAACACGTCCAGAGGTGAATTCTTTAAGGTCAACCTCCCACTCCCAAGTAAATCTGGTTTGACTAGAGTCACCAAAATAATTGTTTTTCTCATCAATCAAAGGAGATACACCTTGAACTAAGCTTTGATCATATAACAAACAACATCTATTAGCGCTAGAATCTCCCACCAACTGTCCACATTGTAATAACCGTGCAAATGTCTGTTAACATCGCCACAAATGGCACCTCAATAACCGTAGCACTTTTGGGCAGGTGCACGTTTTCAGAATTTGCAAGTTTCGAGGCAAATATGCCCACTTTTTGCCACAGACAAAGCATGAAAATCTTTGTAGAGGTGATGGACCTTGTGTTTTTTATTTGGATTAATCCATTTTATTGTGAGGTTTTCCCATAATTCTTCAATAGTCTTTTTATAGGCTCAAAATAAGCTTTCTTTGGAATTTATGACATTTGGGTAAGTTATTATTTGGCTGAACAAAGTTTACCTTTCTAGTAGAATTGTCATTACCTCTTGTGTTATTAATGCATCTTGGCCTCTAGCTCCTCTTTCCGACTCAGATGCGAGTGATCAACACTTCTAAGGAAGTCTTCTTTTGTTGTGGCGCATGCTTTTGGAATTCTATCTAAGTGGCGGTAGCTTTGTCAACAATCTACAACTACCAAGTAGTCAAATCTTGATGCCTTCAGATCTTACTTCTATAATATCATTGGAAATCTTGTGCTTGATCCACAACAATTTTCCATCCACCATTTGGAAGCGAAAAAAACAGCTAGCGGCATACTTTTTTTGCTCCTAACCTCTTCAGTATCATAACTTAGTCTGTAAGCTTTTTCAAATTCTTTGCAGAAAGTATAATGGTGTCATAGTAATCTAATTGATGCAGAAGGCAATTTTAAGAGATAAAACGAACATTTATACCTCATTTGTATTGTAAGAAGCCACTTTTTGCTTCATGTCCCCTTGTAATCTTCCATTATTCATCTTCTCGGTTTGAGATTTTGTTTGGGTTTTTCTCAATAAAGAACATATGCAACTTTCAAAAAGCTAAGGTAAAAAAGAAAAAGATCAACTTTCAAAAAGCTGAGGTAAAAAAGAAATTTTCCTTTCTAACCTTCTTAAAATAAACTCCCTGAACTTGAAAAGGCTTGTTTGAAGATCTCCAATTCCATTCATTGGTTATTTTCTGGTACTTTTTCCAGGTTGATCTTCCTTAAAATTATTGGTGAATAATACAAAAAAATTATATTTTAATTGATAAATAATGCAAAGAAAATGAGAATACAAATGATCGGCTGAGCACGGATTATCTCGTTTTCTTAGGAGATCAAAACCCACTGTGGTAAGAAGAACCCAAATACTATACAGTAGGTCACGAAACTATGGCTTTGTCCTCCTCCAAGATACAACAGTCTGACCACTTATCGTATGATTCAGGCCTAAACTCTACACAAGTTGGGTAACCCAAAAGCCTCCACCAAGAAAAACACGCTCTTTGCTAGTAATCTCTCAAATATAAACAATAGTTGATGTAGAAAAGAGTAGATGAGAGAGAACATTTATAGGCCACTTAGGAACCTTACAACTTATAACCCAAAAAATAATAACTGACCATTAACTCACACCAAGTCCAATGAACTTCTAATTAATCTCCATTCATTGAATAAGCAAAAGGTCACCAAAAAATCAATGATTCTCCATTCACCAACAAAATGAGAATTCTATGGGAGCAAAACAAAAGAGATTCATCATATATAAAAGATTTAAAAGGTCCTAATACCATACTTGTTGCTGGTTTTATGCATTCCAGCATTTTTAGGATATGAGGCAGGCATTAACAAATGCCCTGTTGAATGGCAATTTGGTTTCCACCCGGAGCTCTCATCACAATTTGTCAGAAAGGACTCTAGTATCTAGAGAATGGAAGCATACACGAGTAATGTTAGGCATGCTTCATTCTTGTGGCAAAATTATATCTATTTTGATCAATTATTTATTTATTTTTTTGTGTACTTATACATATGTTGATCAATGTTTGTTTTCAAGCTTGCAGAGTGAAAACAAGATATAATGGATAAGATTTCTCATTTTTACAACCCTTGATCTCATTATAAAAAAGGAATGTCCATGAACTGAGGCAAATGATAAAAAGAAGACAGAAAAATTAGCCATGAAAGGTAGAGATAAAGAATTTGACAGAGAGCAGGAAGAGAGAGAAACAACAATAAGGATCACACTAATAGAGAAATGGTTACAAATAAGTAAGATAGCCAATGTAATAACGAAGAGAATGGGATTTCTGGAGGTAACTTACCATTTAAAAAAAATTCCCTGTTGTGCTTCCATTTTTTTTGTATTAGTATAAATGTAATAATTGATTTTTGTTGAATGTTTTAACTTTTACAGGGAGAAAAGGATACTAGGGCAAGCTTAACTATTTGATTTTAGGTTTTAATTATTTGCCCTGTTAAACATGGAACAGTAGTTATCAAAATTGAGAAACCAGTGAGGCTGTGAAATCTTGTACCATTAAAATTGAATATCAAAGTTAATATTTAAGATCTGGTATCTCTAGGGAACATAGGGAAAAGAACATGCCAATTGGGATATACTGAATGAAAATCATATTCTGGTTGTTTAGCTTGCAAAGGATGTTATTATTCAATCTTGGTTATATATTTTGTTATCTTTGAGCTCTATTTACTTCATGTCTTCATGGCAATTTCTTCAATTGATAATATGAGAGAGCCATTGCCTCCCCTAAAATAATACCAATAAAAATAAAAAATAAAAAAATAATTCAAATAGAACAAGATCACTGTGGGAACATAATTTTTTTAGTGACACACGTGGCCCGAGGTGGCACCAAAGTGCCAGCCGAGGTGCCACGTGTCCCTGGTCATGACGTTCGAGATGATCTCGGATAGGGCCGAGGTTATCCTGCGAAGATACCAGAATCCAGGATAAGCGGATTAAGGGACAAGAGTCCTAAAATAAGTGATGGATTTCAATTTGGATAAAGATTAAGACTCTTAGGAGTTTATCCCAATCCTACTTGGGAGTCAAAATAGCAAATAAATCCAGAGACCATTGAAGTCAGGCTTCTATTGGGATTAGATCAGTGTTGGCTATAAAAAGAGAGGCAACCACTCGCGGTGGTTAAGGACGCTTTTGTATTCTGAATAGTGAGTTAAGCATTTTGCTATCTTTAAAGATAATGCTTGATCGTCGGAGTGCGTTGGGTGGATGCACCATCGCCGGAATCTTTTTTTTTTGAAACAGGTTCGTTCGGGCTTAATCTATTCTGTCGGTGTCTCCTAGCTGAGTACATGTTTGGCAGTGTGGTCCGGAAATGAACACACCAATTTGGCGCCGTCTATGGAAAAGAAAGAGGAAAGATGCACAACGGACAAAAAGAAAAGGTTGGGACGGCATCCTACTGAGAGCAGTAAGCACAATTGAACCTTATGTTGAGGAAGACAACTGCAATGAAGGACTCATAATAAGAATCACGAGGATAAAGAACGTCGGCCAGGAGGGAACGTAACCAAAGAAATCAACGAAGCAGGTAATTATAACGAGGACAGACCTCCAGGTATGGAAAGAAATTAAGAAAAAAATGTCCTGCGGAGGGACGAAGAGATGAAGGGAAATGGCAGACAAATTGGCGGAACCTACAAGGTCGTCAATTTCATGATGCAGAACAACGTCATGTAGCCATCGTTCCATTACAGACACGCCGATTCTAGCGGCCAAGAAAAATGCTTCAGAAGGGAGGCCAGAAAACATCCCTGTACCCCGCAGCACGTCATGAACCAAAGGAACACTCTCACCCCTTCAGGGAAGGTTGGGCGGGAAGAGTCAATAAAGTGAGATTCACGGAGGACGCATTGTACAAGGAGGATGACTCCCAAGAAATCGGCAATGTTCAAGGGAAGGAGCTCTGTTTTCGACACAACTAACAGAGAGAGTCCAAGGGAACTTCACAATGACACCGCAAGTAGTGCACTGAAAAGAATTGAAAATCTGGAGATAGCCGAGCTCCTAGGCGGACCAAGGAAGTTCTGAGGGATTACTTCAGAGGAAGCAACAAGATTGTCGAGTAACCTCCCCAAGTTTAATCCACGAGAACGCCGTTTCTGGTAGAGGGGACAAATTTGAGGCCCTGAAAAGGTTCAGTATGCTGAGATTCCTAGATACAGACGATGATAAGTCAGACCCAACTTTCATCTCACTTATACATAAACTCGATGGCATTATACATGGGAAACGAACCGTTGGCTTTGCAAGGTGTTTCCCCTCGTCCTTACTCGGGAACTTGCATTAGACTGGTTCACAAGTTGCCGAAAAGGAACGTGAAGACTGGGAAGGCCTGGCTGAGATGTTTGTGGTAGG